GTGAGGTTCTGGTGCCGATCCGCTTTCGGCCACCCCTCAGTGTGCGATGGTTAATGCCTGGCAGAGGTGTCCAGTAACGAAGTACAAATACTTTGTTACTGTACTTAAGTACACTTTTTAGGTATCTATACTTTACTCCATTACTTATTTTTCTTCCTACTTCTGACTTCTACTCATTACGTTTTCACAGAAGTATCTGTACTTTCTATTTCTTACATTTTTAAAACAAGCGTTACTCTTTACTCTTGGCTTCGATTTAATGGGTATATATATATTTGGTTTCCGTCATGTGCGCCATCCAATGCAGATCATTGGCGCCACCCACATCTAGTGAAGACTAGTGTGATTGGATGAGTCATATAACACTCATTGGTTAGCTAAAGGAAATCATCAGAAGCAAGCAGGTGTTCTTCAAACTGTAAACGTGAATTGTCTATGCCATGCCAGGGAAGGTTGGCGTTGGATGTAGGAGTTTGCCCTGAAATTGAAGGGTTGACGGTTCAAGCCCCGACTCCGACTTTCAGTGTCGTTGTGTCCTTGGGCAAGACACTTCACCTGCATTGTCTACTGATGGTGGTCAGAGGGCCTGGTGGCGCCAGTGTACGGCAGCCCAGCTTCTGTCAGTGAGCCCCAGGGCAGCTGTGGCTACAATGTAGCTTGCCACCGTGAGTGAGTGTGTGTGTGTGAATGGGTCATTCAAGTCTCCTGACTTGAATGAGTCAGGAGACTTGAAGTACATGCCATTTACCATTTTACTTGAGTAAATAAGTCAAGTTGATACTTCAACTTTTACCATTGTGTTTTTAAACTGCAGTATCTATACTTCTACTTCAGTAACAAATGTGTTTACTTTTGACACTGCTGTTGCGTGGCCACCCTTATAAAAATGTTCTGGCTACACCCCTGTTGAGTAACACAAGTCTAAACTAATGTCTGCACAAAAAAATTAGGTTTTACTTTTTTTCCCCCTTGTCACTGCAATAAACTACTGTCTCCAAAACTACTGAGAACTAGAGCTGAATGATGAGACAAATCAGGGAACCTTTAATATTCAAGAGAATAGCTGTTATTTTCTATCTATAACTCAGCAGAAAAAAAACACACAAGAAAAAAGTCCAATAGGTTGAAGGAATCCAAGAAACTGGAGCTCGCACTACTGAAGTACTTCTATTGCTCACCAGGGGGCGCTACCTCACAGCACATCTCTGTCTCCAGCAACGAGACATCCCCAGTCCCAAAGATTCCTGCTTTTTCCGAGTTGTGCAGTCTCCTCATCTATATGTGTACTTTGTGTTGGTGCAAGTTAATCTGCAGCGCCATTAGTCTAATGGCATAAAATGAAAATGGTGTCCGTATGCTTATGAATGTGCCCTGACACCGGGGGCCTCACATGACAGAGAAAAAAGAGCAGGTTTTGTGACTTTGCGTATGACCTTTTCGGAAAGAGAGCTAATCCGGAGCTATAATAGACTCTGATATGGAAAAACTGCAGGCCCGTTATCTCGGTTGCCTAGGAGACCATCGGAGCACCGGGGCCGGTGGAGATGTGGCGGTATTAAAGAGAAGCCCGTTGGTCTGTTAGAAAAAAATATTTTCTTTCTTTTATTTTCCTTTTTCCCCCCTAAAAACGCCACATATTAATGTACCACATAAAGATTCCCTTTTTATTTACTCCACTTTCTTATTTTTAAGGTTTTTAATTCTGTAAAGGTTCCCAGCGTTGTCGTTTTCTGCCATAAAAAAGAAAACTCGCTCTGCTGATATTAATTCCACCTTTAAAATATTTAACATGATTTAAATTGAAGCTAAAATTGGTTCAACAAAATGCCACAGTAGTTTTTATAATTGATACAATCTGTACGAAAAAAAGGCATAACCACTCGCTCTGTTGATAAAAAAAAAAAAAAAAAATGTTAATAACGCCTTAATCCTGTAGCAGAGGTGTATCTATCATAATTAGATGTGTTTATTAGGGCGGAATCACTTAGGAAATTATGACTTCATCTTTTATTCTTTCCTGTTAGATAAATGAAAAGTTTTTGAATTGTCACAGACCAACATTTTGTCAAACATTAAATAAAGAGACTCACAGGGTGATCTAAAAAAATCAAAGGCCTACATCTAACCTAAATTAGATCAATCAGACCGATATGCTTCATATTAAAATGAAACATGGTAAACATTGCATGTTTGGCCAATAAGCTTCCAATGCCTCCCCAAATAGAGCCTATTGGTGTAAAAACGTGTAAATATGTCTCTTCCCTGTACGCCTGTCTGTCTGTATCAACCTACGGCATCTACCCCCCCTCCCATCCACAAATGATGCATTAGATGCATTGAATGTATTTGTTGTGCGAGTTTGAAAAGGCGGCGATAATCTGGGAAGGAGAGATAAGGAACACCAATTTATTCAGCAGCACTTTGGACCCTGCTTCCAGCCTCGGTCGGCGCTGACACCCCCAGCAGTTTGCTGATAACGATTAGGCCATTTATTATCTTCACGGAGAACAAAGATTGCGCGGTGCCGATGAAATATTACCCCTGGTAATAATCAGAAGGAGAAGGGCCTCGCCATCTGTAATGCGGTGTGCATATAATATAAAAATCACTGTGCGCGCATGCTGCACACTACAGGAGACCACGCAAGAAAAACAAAACAAAAAATACAACAAGTAGGCTAGAGATTTACAAAATATAATAATAATAATAATAATGCTGGTTTGGTTGCTGATATTTGAATGTTATATTAAGGATTTATTTAAAATGTAATTCATTTAGACTGCCCACCCCCCCAACACACACACAAAGAAAAAAGAACTCAGACCCCAGAGAGCCCGCAGTTATTCTTTCTAATCTAGTAAGAGTCTAATTAATGTTTTGATTTTAGAGGCATAACACCTAACTTGAAATGATGCTTCTAAGATAATTAGATTCATTTTGGGGAAGAAAAATAAATAAATAAACACAAATCTGAGACATATTTGACATGAGGTCAACATAAACAGACAAAAATCTAACATATCTATATAGATTAAAGAGTTAACTACATTATGATTTGAATTCTAAATTATTCTGGTTAACAAAATTCTGTAAATGTGTAACGTATTTTGATATACCGGATTTAAAGGTTTGGTATCACTTTTCTTCCTTTCTTTTTTTATTTTTAATCTTTCTCCTTTTTGTGTGCTTGTGGACTCTGGGGAGCACCAGGCCCCTGTAGCAGAGGTCCTTGCGGCTCTTGCACCTGCCCGGCTGCGGCGTCGCGCACGAGCCCAAGTCGCGTGCCGTGGATTTTAGAAGCTTTGCATGTTTTATAAAGTTTGCTGGTGCTCTGCTGCTGTGTGGGGGGATAAAGCAGCAAAAAGGAGAAAAGGGGAGGGAGAAAGGCGTCTTTTTTCCTTATGCATTTAACAAAGTGGGTGGGGTGGGGGGAGCAGATGAGACACATAAAGAGCCAAATCTAAGAAAGTTAATCAAGGCGCAGGGGGTTGACAGAATTCTCTCATTTTGGGTCATCATCACATTTGAAATAAAAGATCAAATAAATTGGAAACTATACACTGATACAACAAACTGTTAGAGTTTATCTTAATTTAGCTTAAGTATTTTTACACAACATTACGAACTGTCCTCCAATGTCTAAGGGAATTAGTCTGTTGTTCAGACAAAACTTTATTAAAAATAATTTTACAGTAAACACATGCTTTATTAACAATAGGCCACTTTACCATTTAGCTAAAGCTGGTCACAAAATGATCTAAATTTTCTTAAGCTCAAATCTTATGATTGTTCTGCTTTTAAACTAAATAGATATTTCTGTTCTTAACTCAACCCATAGGCCTATCTTATTCTTAGAGTTTTCTGCTGGGCATCACATCCAATGAAAAGATCGGTTGATTGAACCAATTTCTACCAAAATCACTAAGGTATCGTTGCATAATCAATAATATCTGAAGCAAATTGTGAACTGATATGAATGAATAAAATAAAAATGTACTGACTTATATTTAAGGTCTTGAAAAGTTCCTTTTTCATTATGAACACAAAGCTAACTTGGGAGCCTAATAAGCCAGGAAATTTATGTTGGTACATTCATTTAAAATCTTTTTTTTTTTTTTTAAATATAGCTGCAATAAGAATTGTTATTCTAAAAAGCGCTGGATAATTATGCATCACATAATAGCTGCACAGCCATTATGGTTTTTGAGTGGCTGCCCAGTTTCCTTTAGGTTGAGGTCATTTTGAAGTGAGATTGTCTATAACAGGCCTGGGTAAGAAAGAGTTACCCTAAAATATAAAAATAAATATAACTGTCTTATTTTCACTACAAAAAATTCCATATTTAACATTTTGATTAAAATTTAACTGAAATTGTTACTAAGTGAACAGTTGTTACCATTCATCATGTGCTCCATGATAAATAGTAAGACTGATATGTTTATGTGTTGCAATATAAATGGGATAGAACTGTCATAATATTTCTAATTAATCGTATTTACTTGCTGAGCATCACTGCTAGAGACCTGTACGAATGTTAAAATACCAACAAGTGTTGATTCTTTTGCACACGTTCATTTAAGGATTAAAACTGTGATACATCTGCTTACAATGCTGAAATAAGAAGAGTTGAATTGTTGCACTTATTTTCTTACCTGTATTCTGACTTTTTTTTTATATATATATATATATATAGGCCTATATAATATTATGGCAATTTGGCACAATAAAGATAGTAACACGGATCTTAAACGTGCCTTCATCTGATTAAAAAGGTGCATGTAAAACAAAATGACTCAAAAGGATCTTTTTTCGCTCCACTGTGAAATGATGCAACTGTTGGATCACCTCCTTGGATTAAGTATTGCCATCTCTGCCAGTTGCTGTATTTAACCAGGACCCGGAAGACAAGCCGCTGGCTGACGTGCCACTACGTCGGGTTATGTGCCCATAGCCTCTCTCTCATCCAGCCACACAAGTTTCTGAGCTCGTAAGCAGAGAGCTGCACAGTGCAGACAGGAGGCAGAGTCTGTGCGCAGCAGGCAAGGCAGTGCTCAGAGTCGGCGGATCTTATTGTATAGCCTATTTTGGAGACTTATATAGGCTACCTTATTAAATTCCTTTAATGGGTTTGGACACATTTTTTTGATTGAAAATTATGCGTTATTATTATTTTTGGAGAGCAGCGGATCAAAGGGACCAGGTTTGACTGGATGCGCAGTGACTCCAAACAGCAGCCTTACGTTTCTCGGCAAAGTTAAAAAGGTAAGAGCTCAATTTTTAACACTGATGCATTACAAAATATATGTTTTTAATAATTAATGACACAATAAATAGTTTGTGGAGAACCATTTATACAGGTGGCAAAAACACAACATTTAGAAACACTGGCATTTTTATGAGCTGTAAAGATTTATGCTGGAGGGTTGCTTTTTCAAATAATGTCACAAATCTTTTTACTCTTACTGACAGTTAAATTGATAAAATAATTTATGAAAGGGGGGTTGCATTTTTGTTGTTTCTTTCGGTGTTGATAATATTATAACAAATAAAAATAAATGAAATGAGAAAAAAATATTTATGCACTTAAAATCTTAAATTTAGGTAGTCAGAATAACAATGAAAAGGGTTCGCTTTTCTAACATTTTGCTGTATTCTCCTAGAAAGAGCCAATGAGGAGTTTTAATGCGTCTCGCCCCGCGTCGCCTGCGGGAGGGAAAAGGTGCTCCGCTCCTGAAATAAACCCCCTCGATCTCGAAATGGTCCAGTTAGTGTGTCATCAGCTTTGTATTAGCGATGACAAAAGTATTCAATTGTCACGCATTTGAAACACATAATGACTGCGGCGATCCTCTTTCATCAGCAGACAGAGCAATCACACCCGCACAATGGTGGAGCCTAGGCAGGGGCGGGCTGGGGGTCTGCAGGCATGCATGGAGCAAAGAGCTGCAGCGCGCACACATGTACGCTGTCACCTTGTTAAGATCCATTTAAATACCTGTCTGATTTGGGTCTGTTATCAAAGCAACATGCAATGGCGCCACCAGGGGGTGTGGGTGTGTGTGTGATTGGGGAGATGGGGTGAGGGGGTTTGCATACTGATCTACTGGAGAGTTTTATATGCAGGATATTTTGTCTGAGTTAATATATGTGAGAAAAGACAAAGTTGCAGAATGTTAGGTGTTATACATCTTAAGAATGCCATTGTATTCTACCATATAAACAAAATTCTAATAAAGCTAATAATACTTCAGCTTTATTGACCTTACTTTGGAGAAATGTTCCTCTGCATTTAACCCATCCCCTTTGGGATGGCACACAGGAGTAGTGTGGGGTTAAGGGTCTTGCTCAGGGACCGGGAGTGGAAGCTGTGGTCAAACCGGGTACTTGCAACCTTCTCAGAGCACAAGCGCACTGCTCTAACCACTAGGCCAACACTCCCCCTATATTATTTCATAATAGGTCTATGTAAGGAGAGAAAAATCCCTGCGTTAAAGTATTTTCTATATATTCTCCACAAAGCAAGAGTATAATAACAATCATAACATGACAAGTTAGAAGAAAAGTTTCTGGGGGCATTGCTGATTTAATGATTGATTAGTAAAGCAGCATCTCATACTTTGTATAGCATCACTGTTTGGGAGCTGGTATGTGTAGAGGCGCCTTGCAGAACAGAGCATTTTACCCTCCACGTCCTTTCCTTTAACTTCAGTTGTCTTTATTGTTTTTGCTCATTCTTAAATAAGGAGTGAGTGGTGCCCTCCAAGCTGCATCCAGGCCCTTCTCACAACAGTTTTATGGTCTTGTGTCTGGGTGCTTGTGTCCATAAAGCCCTCCCCAGTGCACTGCCTAATCTAATTAGCCGTGAGTAAAGGAGACAATAATGCTTCAGCTGGGTTGTATCATTCTCTTCTCTTTGGCTCTGTTTATCTTCACAAGCCTCACTGTGGCTCTTCACAAAAAAACAAAATAACCAAAAACTTGCAGATACACACAAACCTCCAAGCAACCAGCAGAGCAGGGCACTGCAGTCACACACCTCCTCAACGGATAGTGATGGATGACCGTGCTCAATGGGAACAAACAGGTAGATAAAGCCTATCCCATTTAATAACAGCATGGATCGGAATGATAATCTTGTCGTTCATTAGCCTCTGATGCTACATGGTGCTGCAGGTGCTGCAGACCACCGTTTGTGCAAAAGATGTTATGAGTAGGATGTGTCCTCCAGGATAGGGCACCATCCTTGGATGAGACAATGATACTGTGTCCTTGAGAGACAGAGAAAGCAAGAGCAGCACCCCCGCATCACACCCTCTCCTCCGTCACTCTCGCATCTTTTGTTCAAGCAGAGATACAAATGGGATTAATGAAGGTATAAATTACAGAGAGCTAATTCCTGCTGAGTAATCCATTTGGCAGACATACAAATAACAATGGGTATACTGCAGCCAGCAACTCCACCAAGTCTGGGCCCAGCAATGCTTAATGCTGCCCAGACAACACAGGTTGACCACTTGGCTTAGTGACACCTTACAATGTGCATATAAAGTGTCCTTTCACTGCAAAACCACAAGATCAACGGCATCAGGGTTCAGCCTCACACAGAACGAGCCATTAGATCCCTGAGGTTCAGAGATTAGTCAGCGACATTAAATTCCTGTAATTAGTGCTTTACTGATGAGAGTAATTAAAAACATTCTGTTACAGGAAAGCATACAGGGGTATGAGAACGATCTTACCCCTCACCTGCCAAATTCAGCTCTTTTATCCCCCTCAGGAATGCAAGTTTCTCTAGTTTACTATGCTGCAGGCTGTTGCGTTTACTTGATATGGAAGTTTGCAAATTGTTTTTTTTCACTGAGCTTAACTGATTTTGTCACGTCTTGTATTTATTCCAGTCATGTTTCTCATTTTTATTTTTTCCACAGTTTTATTGTCTTACACTGTCACAAGTACAGAGCATCAAAATTCACTATCTGCATTTAACCTATCTCCTTGGGGAGTGGGCGGCCATGGTGCTCCGCCCGGGGAGCAGTGTGGGGTTAAGTGTCTTTGCTCAGGGACCCAGAGTGGCGTCTGTGGGAGTGGGGCTTGAACTCAGAACCTCTGGATTCTGAGGTTCTAGGCCGCCAATTGTCCCCACCTTAAAACGAAAAACACTTATAGGAATTAGTTGGTGATTAAATTATTTAACAGTACAGTTAGTGTAACACGCTTGTACAAGATGCTGAAGCAACTACTCTCAATTTGTTAGCAGGCTATAACTAGTCTAGCAGCAACACAGCTACAACTTGCTTGCTGGACACAAATGTGCATTCATGCTTTCAGTGTTGAATATTCTTTCAACACCCCAATTTCATTCTGAAAGCCTGCAAACATTCCCGTAAACATACCATTTAAAATATCTATAGCTGCAATTTGATCACTTTTATCATTTTGCTGAATTAAATGATTATACTAGTGAACTAAAGAATGTTCTAGTTTTAAATTAATTTTAAATAATTTTGTACATGTTAAATTTAATAGGCAGACTGTGAAAGAGCATAAATTATAGATGGTATACTTAAAAATTACACTTTTATGGTTAATATTCCTAAGGTTACACTGGAAAAAATGGAAATCTAGATGAGTCACTTTTTCTTAAAATAAGTGCTTTTGTTCTGGGATTAAGGAGGTAAGACAGACATTTTGCTAATGGAACAAGACAATTTACACTTAAAATAAGAAAACACAATTGAATTGTCTTATTTCAAGCGCATATTATCCAATTATCTTATTTTAAGAGTAAAAATACTAATTCCATTGGCAAACTCATTTACCGTCTCAAATGAAGGGTAAATGCATTTAAGACATTTTTACTTATTTCTTGATAGTTTTTCCAGTGTAGAACATATCCTTTGTAATTTAAGGCAGGGCACCAAAACTGATACTATAACCCTGGCCCAACTTCCTTCTATATCAGTCCCTGTCTGGGTGTCTGGTTTCCTTTAAAATATTTTCAATAGTATCAAACTTACTCAAAAAAATAATAATAAAAATTTGATTAAAACTAAACCACTTTTGAACATTTACATTTAGATGCGTGTACAATTTTAATGATTTTAAAAACTAATAGATAACTAAGAAAATATGTTTTTAAAAGTGTTTTCATTCCTCTGATGCAGCTGCTGCTCTCAGGCTCGCTAATGTGTTGATTTTAAGAGCTGACAAGCTCAAAGGGACCCAGCTCATCAGCCCCTGGCAACATGCCACTGATTTAACGACTGCTGACTGAGGAGCGCACTCTCAGCTGGGAATGATGGCCCCGCTTCGTTAAATGAACGGACTCATGCACCACCTGTAAGAATGTCCACAGATAACTGAAATCTCACGTCACCTACTCTCTCGCTGGTTTTCTGACGTCAGAGCAAGGCGTCTATGTGGCGGACGGTAAAACCTCCAGGCCACGTCCTGTTTTTAAATGTCAATCAGAGGAGCGCACTCTCCAAACGCGCCTATTTATCATCTGAGTTAAATTCATCTCTTTCTCTCACTTTTATTTAAATTTATTATTATTTTTTTTTTAATTTGGTATGAATTTGAAGTTGTGACACAGGTGAGGCCTCGCACCCATCCCACGGCCTCGCGGCGCCTTGTGTTTAGGCGCATGCAGAGTCTGGCCGCTCAGTCCCTGTTTTCACAAGTGGAATGTCTCCCTCGTAATTAAAGACAATTAGGACTCTCCTCTTTGAATGAATGGGGGCAATTTGAGGGTGGGGCAGTGTGTTTGTGTATATGGAGGGGGGGCCATAAATCGCCCATCTTCTGTTTGTTTAAAAGGTGCTAAATTCGCTGTTTATTTAAGTGACAACAGTAGCCTACAAGAACATTAACAGTTATTTTTTATTATTATAATTATTGTTATTTTAAGAGGTTTATAACACACCCAATCAGTAGCTTTAATTACATTTTGCATTAGGATGCGAATTTTAAACAGTTGAAAAGTAATGTTGCGCAGATGCAGGGGAAGGGGAATTAAAAATAACACTGGACAACCGCGTTTTGATGTCTATCTTTAAGCTGTTAAAAAGAAGGCGGGTTGGTTATGAAAATATTCGCTCCATTTCAGCTTCTACAGAGACAGAGAGAAAAAAAAGACAGCATAAAGTGTTCCGCTGATTGATAAGTCGCTTAGGCTGGGGGTTGAGGGGGAAATAGAAAAATTTAAAAAGCAAGGAGAAAGAGAGCAAGGATGCAGCGGGCCAATTGTGGCGACGCGCTCCGTGATTGGCGCACAGCGACGCTCCACCCCGTCCTGGCTTGATATGGGAATTTACTGGCGCCAGCCGCATCAGTCTACGCCACATCTCATTAATGAGCCCGAACACTGCACGGATCAAGAGCTTTAACACATCCAGGCTGCTGTGTGTGCGCATGTGTGTGTGTGAGTGTGTGTCCCGTCAGCTGATCAGAACTGCAACAGGTACCTACTATCCCGGGCGGTGGAGAACTCCCTCTTGTTTCTTTCCTGCAGAGCCGGGGTGTGTTGCTGTCTTGCAGACATATGCTCTTACTTTACTTTGTTTACAGCTGCAGAAATTAACATTTACTTCACGCGTCATTAGTAGATAAAACTCGGAAGGATGCTCTTTGCTTTGCAGGAGAGATGCAAAAGAAGTTAACTCTTTGCTCTCATCCCTTTGCAGGTATCACCGAGGAGAAGAAAGGACGCCTTGGTATTTAAGGATTTCTATTTCTAAAGTGAACATACAGCTGGGAACTATACTGCAAAGAGGACTGATCTGAACAGGAGACGTGCTCGGAGGACAAACAGAGCCGAGCCATGGAGGTCGCAGCGGCGGATCAGTCTCGGTGGATGGCGCACCATCACGCAGTGCTGAACAGCCAGCACCCGGACTCACACCACCACAGCCTGAGCCACAACTACATGGAGCCGATGGCGCCTTTGCTGCCCCAGGACGAGGTTGACATGTTTCTGAACCACTTGGACTCTCAAGGGAACCCTTACTACACCAACTCCCGGGCGAGGGTCACATACAGCCAAGCACACGGTGAGGATGAACATTTCATGAGAACTATTAATATGGTGGATTCCTTACAAATTGTAAACAAAGTTGCCTGTTTATGTCTATAAAATTTATTCAAAAATATCAAATAATAGTCATGCTTAGATTTTTTTTTAGATGATAACAAAATATAATAATAAAAATGAAGTCTATGAGAAATGCTCCTCCTTATGGGCCAATTCACCAACATAAAAGGGATTTCTAGCAAATGACAGCGAAAGGAAAGGGAAGTATGTCACTTAACCCCTCCGTGTTGGGGCAGGGATTCTGCAGAGAGAGAGGGGCACTTCCCGGATATAAAATAAAAACCGCAAAATTACTAATAACAATCTTTAGTCCGAGAGCTGCTGCGACGAGGAAGATATCAAACCTCTTTTTTTTTTTTTTCTCCCAGACCTGTAGCCGCTTATATCTGCAATAAGGGCTTTGTTATTTTAATAACAATGGGGATGTTGTGATTTTAAATTAACAAATTTTGTATAACATTTCGATATACAATTTAAAACCAACTTAAAGGTTTTATTTACGCCTGGAACTAAATGTCGAATTTGAGTCATTTTGTCACTTCTACAGGTTAGATCTTCATATTCTTTAATTTGTTGGAAAATGGTCTGCTAAAATGTGATGATAATAAGATGAATTAATTTGAAATGATCTTCATTATAGCTCGCTTAACTGGGAACCAGGTTTGCCGGCCACACCTAATCCACAGCCCCGGGATCCCCTGGCTGGACCCCGGGAAAGCCGCCCTGTCCGCGGCGCACCACCATAACGCATGGGCGGTCAGCCATTTTAGCAAACCCGGCCTCCATCCAGCCGGCTCCGGCTACCCGTGCAGCAGCAGCGCCGGCACTGCCTCCGTGTCCTCCCTCACCCCGGCGTCCCACTCCAGTCCGCACCTCTACAGCTTCCCCCCGACACCTCCGAAAGACGTATCCCCGGACCCGGGTCCCACTTCTCCCACATCCACCTCCAACAGGATGGAGGAGAAGGACTCGATCAAGTACCAGGTGCCGCTGACGGATGGGATGAAGATGGAGAGCTGCAGCCCTCTCCGCGGCGGTCTGGCCTCCATGAATGGCCAGGCTGCCACTCATCACCCCATCCCGACCTACCCGGCCTACTCCCTCCCTGCACCTCACGACTACAGCGGCAGTCTGTTCCACCCGGGCAGCCTGCTTGGCGGCTCCTCCTCCAGCTTTACGCCTAAATGCAAAAGCAAAGCTAGATCGAGCTCAGGTGAGTCTCTTATCTTTTTTTTTTATTTTTTTTTTTTATCATCCCACAATTTTATCAGATCATTAATCTAATTAAAACAGCTGATATCTATACTCAGCAGGCTTTATAGTACCCATTTCTCAGCACATACATGTTTTATTGAGCACATTAAAAATATAACATTTGTCTCTGTTGTCAAGCTGCTAATATAATTATGTATGCAATCGCCTTGAGGGTATTTGCATATTTAGTTTGAGCTGAAACTAGGATTTAAAAATCCAATTTGATGTAATTTATACGTTTGTTTGCTGTTCTGGTGGAAATCCCGGACTTATCAGCAACATTTCCTCTCTGACACCTCTTATCTTTGTTCTGTTTCACTTTTTGCAACTTTAATCTGCTTCAAGCAGCAATCCATCTCAGAATGAGAGACATCAAAGCATTCACAATGATTTAAGATTTTAAAAAAAGGGTAATTTATGAATTAATGGATTATTCGTTGTATGCATCTGTGTTTAGGCCTTTTAAATGGAAAAAAGGCATTGTGCAATTATTAGACGAAACTAAAGAAGCTTTTACACCCCTTTGCAGCGACTCATCCGGCTCTTTAGTTTACCCCTTTACCGCAAACCGCCTAATTACTTCTTCTCTTTCGTGCCACAGACTAGTTTTTTTTTTTTTGCTTTTGAATATGGCCTTTACTGCTCTTCGAAAATAAAACAGTCACGACGCCCTGGCTCCTGCTATATCCTGTATACCTCCAAAGTGAACAAATCACGACCTCCTCCCCCCCACCGCTCTCTGCAGTCCTAACAAAGCCCAGGCGACAGAGTCGTGCTGTTTGTGTTTTTAAGCATGGCCTTGGCCCAGTCAGTCTCTCTGTAGATGACAATGCATTTTGCAGATGATTGAGTAATCATCAGCTCTTTTTTTTTCTTTTAATAAAATGTTAAAAAAACAAAAACAAAAAAACATGCATGCTTAGGAGCCATTAGGGGAAAAAAATAAGACATAATCCTGCATTCTCTCCACTAATGGGCGGCCAAGTGAAAACTAATGCTTGAAAAAAAAGTCTTTTAATGAGTCAGTAATTTCCCAGCATTGTTTAATTTGTTGTCCTTTGAATTAACAGATGAAAAAAAAAAAAAAAACATTAGCAGACTTTTCACTATACACCAGCCTTTCAGCAACAGACCAGGGTTGGCATTTTTTTATTCTAAAAATCTACAATTATTTCCCAAGTCATTAAATGCATCAAAACTCTGTTCAGTCTTTCTTTTGTTTTGTATATTTGTGTATTTCTGTGATGTTAGGCGCTCTGACTCAGTTTTAGACAGTTCCCAGTTTCTCTTTCTATAAATAAAATACTAAAATGTTCCTTAATGGAGGGTAAAGTGAGGTGATTCAAACCTTAAAAAGTACATTAAACACATATTTCCATATCTGCCAAATTAAAATAACTAAATAACAAAGCCAAGAAATCAATTTTTGTTGGTCCTTAAACACATAATTTAACCGCATGATGGTCAAATTACTCTTGATTGACTATGTTTGGTGTTTTAAGTATTTATTTTTTATTCTATTCATTAAATCATTCAAAACTAGGAACTCATATTTTCAGTTCATGAACTCATAAACAAAGAACATGCACTTTGCACCACTTAATTACCAGGAATTAGGATTTCAGCAAGACAAATTATAATTTTGAGTGCTAATCATGCAGTGCATAAACCTAAGCACTTCAATGTATCTCTGTGTTTTATTTTTCAACCAAAACTCCATATTTTGATAGTTAATTGTAGCTTAATAACAATAAGGAATGTTTGGGAAATATTATTTGTTGCAAAAACAGAAATAATCTTCCAATTTCTGGGAATTTAATTTGAACCCAACATATTTCCTTTTTCAAAGAACCTGCAGGACATGTTTTTATATTCTATGGTTCTTGAAAAACAAAAATAAAACAGATTTACTCAACATCAGAATCAGCAAGTCAGATCTAAAATAAAATTGGCAGATCGGTGTGTCTCTACCGTTAACAAATTGTTCCAGATGCAGTTGTGCAATTATCACCGCTGTCATCTCTCTTTAAACTACACCTGGGAAAATGCTGGCCGCCCGATAATCGGAGGGAATATAAGCTGTTGTGGCAGGAGAAATGTTATACTGTGACATTTAAAACAAGCTGGCCAGGCAGTGCCCGAGTCAGTAACACAAACATATCTGCTGTACGGCATTAAAAAAAGACCTCTTATCTGTCAAAGCTTCTGCCCAGTAAAAAGTAATGGTGATTGACTGTTGTACAAAATGCCACAATGACATTTCAGCTGTCAGCAAGTACACCTTGCAGTCTTGTGGCTTCCTGTCGAACTGCCCTCAAACCAAAAACTCTTCTCGCATTTGAATTTTCTTATGCTCAGTCTTCATCCTTCCCATTTTTTTTTCTTATTTCAACACAAAGCCTTGCATAAAACAAAACGCATAAGTCATTGTTGATGAATATTTACGGTTTTAATGAGGCATCTTCATTGTGGGTGCTGGACTTGTGAAACACTTAAGAGGAAGGAGAAAAGAGGTTTAAAAAAGGTGCATTTCAAAAGCACAGTCTAGCTTTGTACTCAGGTCAGATTCCATTGTGGAGCAAAGGGTGGGACTTTGGGTGTCGCTGGCTTTATAGCAGGAATAATGAGATAGTGCTCTGGGGAAAAATAGGGATTCTTGCAGTGAATTGGCGGTGTTGCAAAAGGCTGTTTGAAGTCAAACCTGTATGGGAGAGACCAGGGCATGGATGGGAGATTTAAAAAAAAAAAAAGATTTTTTTTCTTACAAAGAATGAGCATTTCTGGTTTGAGACCCTGCATTATTACATGCAAGCCTTCATCAAACCCAGCAACACTGCCCGCCACATTTAATACCCCCACCCCACACTAATGCTTCCTCTCATGGGTACCCACTGAGCTGATGAATAATGTAGTCCTAATTTGATGGTGTGTCTCATTCTTCTTGTTGGACACCTCTGGACATGCTCTCGCTGCCTCTGGATCGGTTTACATGGAGGTGTTTGTGTCCGTGACAGACACTCACACTTGGCTACACCTGCACACTGATGGTGACATTGTCCCCAATGCCAGGCAGATTTTCTCTTCGTATTACAGTGCCATCTGGGGTCATCCTTTGCGGAACGGTTGCCCCGATAGCACCGGACAGCTGCCACATGTCTTGCCTCTGACAGAAGGTGAACTTTTTAATTATATAAATTTTTTCCTCCTGTCTTCCTCTTGAACTATATGCAGAGGGTCGAGAGTGCGTGAACTGTGGCGCCACCTCCACCCCTCTGTGGCGGCGGGACGGCACTGGCCACTACCTGTGCAACGCCTGTGGACTGTACCACAAGATGAACGGCCAGAACAGACCGCTCATCAAGCCCAAGAGAAGACTGGTAAGTTTTGGACTCTTATGCTGCACCCCTAAGCTTTGCTACGAGAGAAGGGAGCCCAAATATGAGCACAAAGCAGATGCCGGCAGCACAATTCCAGGAAAGTTATATTTTCCCTATGATCTTCCTGGAATTGTTTGTCCCTCTCACCCCCCAACGATCTGCCTTCATGGCCTGTTACAATACTGCTACTATTGCCATTGTTCCTGCTATCGTTATTGCTGGTACTTCTGATACAGTTACTGATACCGATGCCCAGGCTGCTTTAGTTAACACCATGATGGAGTCAATGAAGGGTACTCAGACACCTAATAGATTAAGGGTCTGTCTGTCTGTCTGTCTGTCTGTCTGTCTGTCTGTCT